GTATATACTTCTGTGGCGTTAACTACATTCACCCTGTTGCCCAACCATCACCACCATTCATCTCCAGATCTTTTGGATCATCCCCAAATGAAACTCTGTCCCCATTAAACACTATCTCCCTGATCCCCTCTCCCCCTAGTCTCTGGTAATCTCTTTTCTAGTTTTTGCTTCTCTGAATTTGACTACTTTAGTCATCTCATGTAAGTTGAACCATATGATATTTATCTTTTGGAATATCTCATATTTGACATTTCAAAACCTGAAATTCTGCTGTCCCTTTTCTTTCCAAATTTGCTACATCCATAGTCGTCACTGTCTCAATTGATGCAATTCCACTCTTTCAGTTGTTCAGACCCCAAACCTGGAGTCATTCTTGTCTCCTCTCCTTTATCACACCCATATCCTGCCTCACGACAAATCCATTTGGCCCAACTGACCACTTATGAACTCTTACACTAATACCACCCTCCCGCCCCACCCCAGGTCCTAGCTTCCTATAACTCACCTGGCTTGCTGCAGTCAGCTCCAATCAGGTTTCCTAAACCCTACAATGCGTTCTCAACTCAGCAGCCAGAATGATCTTTCAAAATCCGAAGTCAGATCATGTCATGTGTCTGCTCAAAACCCAGCCGTGATTCCCCACGTCACTCACATTAAATGAACACAAAAGTCCTTCGATGGCAGAGAAAGCCTCACATGATCAGCGCCTATACCTGTTCTCCTCTTCTGCTATGCACCCTGTCACACTCTATGCTGCAGTCACACTCCCCCCAGGCGACCTTCCACCTGAGGATCTTTGTATGCTGCAGTCACACTCCCCCCAGGTGACCTTCCACCTGAGGATCTTTGTATTATTCTTACCCTGTGCCAGGGCACTCTTTCCCCAGATTTGCGCTCACCTAAGTCATTCACTGCCTTCAAAAATGTAACATTCTCAATGAGGTTTATGAAGACCATCCTTTATATCATGACAACCTGTCCTCCTCATGCACCTGATCTTCTTTATCCTGCAGAGTTGAACCTAAAATAATGACTGACACATAATAAATACTCAGTAAAAATAGTTTTGATAAATTGAATAAACAGATGCGGTTCTGAAGGGGCGGTCAGTGACATTGTCTCCTGACCCCAGTTGATTGGTCCAAGGTGGGAAGAGCACATGATTGTGTCAATCACAATCCATCTCTGAGATTTTTTTTCTCAAATGAGAAGCTAAAATAAATCCAGTTTCTCTTTAATACTGAAGCAACTAAAAAAGTGCTTCACTAACACGAGGTGTGAGTTGTGAGAGCTGCTGGTTTCTGTGTCTCACCTATTTGCAAGTAGTCGGGCTGAGAAAATAAAGCTGATAATCTGAAAGAAAATCCTTGTAGTGTTTGAGGTCCTGTATCCAGTTGTGCCAGTGTCCATCTGAGCCTCTGTTCAGCTATGAACAGATGAATCAGGAAATTATTTTCTATCACTTGTCAGCAAAGCAAACCTAATAGTGCAGCCTTATATTTAGATCAGCAAGGACCGTGAATTGGTCATGCTCAATGAAAATCAGCAAGGAGTGCCAGACTTACCCTCCACCTTCTCTGCTCAAGACATTACTCATCAATTTTTGGCAAATTCTAACTCACACATCTCCCACGGCAAGCCGAACAATAGCTGCCCAAAGACGTTCATGTACTAATCTCCAGAATTTGTGAAGATGTTACCTTAAGATGATGAAAGGTATTTTGCAAGTGTAATTAAGTAAAATATCTTGAGATGGGAAATTTATCCTGGATTATCTGGGTAGGCTCAATGTCGTTACAGGGGTCCTTATTAGAGGAAGCCAGGAGCGATACAGAGAGATTTGAAGATGTTCTACTGTTGACTTTGAAGAGAGAGGAAGGAACCAAAAGCCAAGGAATGCAGGGAGCCTCTAGAATTTGGAAAAGGCAAATAAACAGATTTGCCTCTAGAGTCTTCAAAAGGAAAGTAGCCCTGCTGATACATTTTAGACTTCAGATTTCCAAACCTATAAGGTAAATTTTTCTTGCGTTAAGCCACTCAGCTTATGGTAATTTGTAGGAAATTTGTAGAAATTTCCTATTTGTAGGAAATAGGAAAATAATACACTTCTCTTCCAAAATCTGCCTCTCTTCTTGCCACTGGCTTAGATCAGTCTCTCCCCTGGACTACTTCCACAGCCTCCTAACTGTTCCTTCTCCTTCCAGTTTCTCCCACTCATAGCAATCTGAAATTCCTCATATTATATGTGTGAATACAGCATGGCCCTGGTGCTCAATTGCTTTTAAAATCCTTAATATGTCAAACTACGCTCTCAATAATCTGCCCTCCATCTACATATCTAGGCTATTTCTAACAACTCAGTCATAGGTTCCATACATCCTCCTGAAATGACTTACTCTTGAATTTCTCCATGCTTATGTGCATGTGGTTCCTTCTTTCTCTAGATCCCACTGTCTTATCCTCTCTGCTTCCAACCCAAACCCATTCTCCAATTAAATTTCTATGGATTAGATGTTACTCAGTGCTCAAGTACATTCTCCCATTAGAACTTTCTCCTGAATCCCAAGTGTTGGCCAAGATGTGGGAAAACTGGAACCTTCATTCAGTGCTGATGAAAATGTAAAATGGTGAAGCCACTTTGCAAACATTTTGGCAGTTTCTTAAGCAACAAACATAAATTTACAACATAGCCAAGTACTTACACTCTGCATTATCTACCCAAGAGAAATAAAAACACATGTGAACACAGAGACATGTATGCAAGTGTTCATAATAACCCAAACTGGAAATATCCAAATACCTGTCAATTGGTAAGTGGATAAACAGAATATGATATATCCACACATTTGAATACTATTCTGCAATTATAAGAAACAAAACACTGATATGTGTCTCTACGTGGATTACCCTCAAAACCATTATGCTAGATGAAAGAAGCCAGATACAAAAGATCACATATTGTGTGATTCCATTTATATAACATATCTAGAAAAGACCAATTTATAGAGACAGAAAGTAGATAAGTGATTGCCTAGGATGGAGGCAGGGGTGGGAATAAAGTGTAAATGGGCACAAGGTAACTTTTTGGGATGACACAAATGTTCTAAAACTGAATTATTATGATGGTTGCATAACTATAAATTTATTGATATTATTGAATTACATTTTCAATGGGAAAATTTCATGGTATGTTAATTAAATATCAGTGAATCTGTAAAATCAACTTTGTAAAGTTTTCTCTGGAATTACTTGAGCTAATTCAACAGTTTTACCTCTGTTTTCAGCATGCTCTATGGCACCCAAGTATTATTATATTCACCACTCTGTGTTGCAATCCTGGCTACCTCTTTGGGCCCCTCTTCAATTTGTATACAGTAGGAAAAAATACCCACTGGATTAAAATTAACAGAATCAAAGTGAATGAAAGCCACATCAAATAGGTTTTTCCTCACTAACAAATTATGTTTTTTCTGGAACATGAAGATTTTCTAGATACGCAATTCTTGGTTTCTTCATTTCTTCTTTTCCCAAAAGTCCAAAGTTCCATTCATGACATTGTTTTGATACCCTTCACAGCTTGTATCACCTGTTTTGGATTTTTCCCCCAGAAGCAGACACTGAGCGAAGGATTCATATGCAAGCACTTTATTGGAAGGAGTAGTAAACATGGAACACGGGTTAGAGAGAGAAGTGATATAGGGAAGAAAATGCACCCAATAAAGCTTACCTGACGTCAGCTCCCACAATAACTGAGCAGAGTTTTCATCCTGTATGGAAATCATGGAAAATGGCACAAAATCTGGACTTCAAAATGATCCCAGCAAAGGGGTGAAGGAGATGGTATACCCTCCACCTCTCCATCAAGAGCTGTTTCTGGTGGGCATAATTCCCTGTCACTTCTGCCGTCATACAATGGGAAAAGCATGTTCCACCTGCTGTGAACTATTGACAGTCAGGTAATCATGCAATGGAGATGGTGAAAAGATCCCACGGAACGTGGGAGAAATGCTGACAGCTTCTACTACTTCACCCTTCACTGAAGACTCAGTTCTTTCAATATTCTTCTCAAAAAGTGACCTAAGTTCTGAATGCATTCCACAAGTGTGTAACTATCATTCCTGATGGCACCTCCAGGGAGTATCTTCCTCCCAAAATAAACCATGGGAGAGGAAACGTCTTACTCTATTATATTCAGTATTAAGTGTTTTGGGATCTTGGGGTGTGCAGTAAAACTGAAATGATGAGAAATAAGAGTCCAATAACACAGGAAAGAAGAGGAAGAAAAGAAAGAAGCAGGAAGGGAGGCAACGTGTGAAGTGATATCTCAGAGTTGTCCTATGTAATATATTCCTATGAATCACCTGGAGAAAGTAGCTTTCAAATCTAGATTCCTACTCTTGAGGCTGGAAATCACATCACTGTTTTCGTGAAAAGTATGATAGCAGAGTTAGAACGTGGGCTCAGTGTCAGATTTCCAGATTAGAGTCCATCCCAATTTCAATCTCTTTCTCTGAAATATGGAGTAAATGAGAAAAAAAATCTCAAGGAAATGTTGTCAGGATTACTTAAAATGGTACAGGTAAAGGAACAGGAAGAGAAGTAATATGGCCAGCACATTGGCCATGACTATTGTATGATTTTCATTCCATTTCTTTCAGGAAAAACAAACACACAATCAAATTAAAGTGAAGATATCAACAATTGAGAAGACAATTTTTGGGGGAAACGATGCAATCACATGATATAAGTGCTTCGTTCCTAATGTTGGCAATCTCAGGAATGGCTGTAAGAAAGCTGACCAAAGATAGAGTTTCATGGTCTACAAATAGGGAAGAAAAGTCAAAAAGGAATGACTGAGGAAGTTACTGAGGAGAAACTACACAAAAACAAATAAAAGGACAGTCATAGGTGCTTTGGGATTGGAAGAAATGAAGCATGTCTTTTAGGGGAGAAAAAGAACAAGGAGTTTAAATTCATATTTGCTTTGGGCCCCAGCATGTTCACTTTGTTCTGAGGCCAGTGACCCATGACAGACAAGAGGCAGCATGGTGGAGGAGCCTTCCCAGGGCCCCCTTTAAATCCTTGTTCCTCAGGCTGTAGATGAAGGGGTTCAGCATGGGGGTGACCACAGTGTACATCACTGAGGCAATCGAGCTTTTGTGGGAAGAATGGGTCACAGCAGAACTGAAGTAGACACCCAGGCTTGTCCCGTAGTACAAGGAGACCGCAGAGAGGTGAGACCCACAGGTGGAAAATGCTTTATATTTTCCTCCTGCTGAGGAGATTCTCATTATAGAGGAGACAATTTGAGAGTAAGAGAAGAGGATTCCAGTGAGAGGAAATACACCCAGGAGTACAGTTGCCACATATATGGTGATGTTAATGAAGAGAGTGTCAGAGCAGGCTGATTTGAGAACTTGAGCCAGCTCACAGAAGAAATGTGGAATTTCAGTACCTATGCAGAAGGTCAGCTGCCTCAATAGTAGAATGTGAAGCAGGGAGACCCAGAAAATGATAAACCAGCACATCAGAACCAGGAGGACACAGAGGTGTGGGTTCATGATGACCATGTAGTGCAGCGGGTGGCAGATGGCCACAAACCGGTCATAGGCCATCACAGTCAGGAGCAAACCGTCCAGTAAAGCAAAAGTTATAAAAAAATAGAGCTGAGTGAAGCATCCTATGTAGGAGATGTCTTTTCTCTGTGCCTGGATGTTCACCAGCATCTTCGGGACAGTGGTGGAGGTGAAGCCGATGTCGACAAAGGACAGGTTGGAGAGGAAGAAATACATGGGAGTGTGGAGGTGGGAGTCAGAGATGATGGTCAAGATGATGAGGAGGTTCCCAAGCATGGTGACAAGGTACATGGACAGCAACACTCCAAAGAGAAGGGGTTGAAGTTCAGGATCCTCTGAGAGGCCCAGTAGGAGGAATTCTGATACTTCTGTGTGGTTTCCTGCTTCCATCGAGCTGGTGTGTCTGCTGGAGGTGGAAGCAAAAGTAATGTTCAGTGAACATCCAACTGGCACCTGAGCTCATTAGCACCTCTTGATTCCACCTTTAGGTAGACAAATTCACCCTCTATTAAGTCTTTCCGATGACAGTGATTCACTAAGTCATGTGGGAGCCCATTTCCTTTTGAAATGTAGTTATTTAGCCTTTTTGAAATTAAGCAGAAATCTCTTCTTGTCTCCTACTCACTGGTTCTAATTCCAGTTGAGGTTATGGACATAAAGCATTTCTTCTATGATATGCCCCTTCCAAAATAGTTCAAGGCATTTAATATCATTTCTTTTATAATCTCCATACTTTCTTCATTCAAATAGCTCTGATCCTTATTAAGATGTGTTTTCTCAACTCAAACAACTTTAATTCTATGACTTGATGCTTGCTATCCATGTCATAGTTAACACTGAAGTGCCTTATTTATTTTATTTCTAAAAATATGGTTACTTCTATTACCTTCTTTGTGAGGGTTAGAGATGTCTTTGTGCACAGTAGGATCTCAATAAATGACATCTATTTTTATCATTATAATATGTTCTTTATGACAATTATATGTGATATGTAACTCTCTGAAAGTACAGGATAGAGATGCGATTTATCAAATGGGATCGGGAGTCAGACTTCATAGAATCGAATTTTGCTCCACCAATTCACTACTGGTGTGACCTTGGCAAAGTTATTTAATCTCTCCTTGTGACAGATACCTCACCTCTACAATGGGAGTAGTAAATATTCCCTACGTTGTAAGACTGATGAGTGAATTAAAAGAGATGATGCATGAAGTTTTTCTTGTGATTCCTGTGACATACACTGGACACTTGATAAATGTGAGCTTCTGTTCTTAACATCACTATAAATCAGTCTTGTGTGGCTATCATTATCAATCTTCCTCTTAAACTGTGCCAGTCAATGAAGATGGAATTCTGATTATCATACACACCACAAATCTGTTACCTCTTTTCACTGCCATGCAGCACTTCTAAATAATGAAGATTCCTATGGCTCCCTGTTTCAGAAACTGCCTGCCAGGTGGATTCTTTCGTGAAGAGAGAAAAGGAGGTGAACAATAAAGATAAGAGGAGGGAACAAATCACAAAGCTTTAAAATAAAAAGCAAAGTGTGTGTTCTCATGTGTGCTCATGTGTACATGCTCAGAAGTGGGGAGTGTTGTACTAAAAATCAGCACAATTAATTGCAAAAAATATAGGTGATAGATATGATTTAAAAATATTCAAAACTTCTAGAAATCAAATCATCCTAAAATTTGCAAGGAAATTTAAGAAGTGATTATAAATGTCTACATGCTCCATGATAAAAATAAGGTCCCTGTTTTTAATGCCGAGAGATTCCTCATTAATTAAAGAGAGCAAAAGTCAGTGTAGACAAATTTAGTCTGGGTAGGTGGGTGAAGAAGTCTTTTTCTGAAATGTGAATATTTGAACTGTGAAATGAAGGATAGGTAAGCGTTAGCCAGGGGAAATAAGGAAAAGTCAAGAGTTTTGGGCTGAGAGAACTGAATTCTTGTTTAAACTGTGGGCCAGAGAGCTTGTGAATGAAGGGACTTGAGAGTTTAGTGAGATGGAAAACAGAGAGGGATGGTCAGGAGGACAGAGTCGGGGAGGCCCACAAGTCCAGCATCCTGTGCAATTCCTTGATGTGCATCTCATGTTGCTAATGTTATGTTTATTTGTGGGTCAGAGAATGTGACTCTTTTTGCTCACCATTGTCTTTCCAGGGAGTGCCATGGTGCCTGGCACATAGTAGGTGCTCAACACATACAAAGGTTACATGTATAATAAAGAATGAGACCAAGTGTCAACTATGACACAAAAAAGAAATCTTCAATCTCACATATGCCTGGATATAGACACAAAATTCAATATTAAAGTTAAATCAAATTTATTCACATCTATATTAAGAGAATAATCCATCCTGTATAAGTAATCCTTGTTCTATGAATGGGAAACTGGTGTAATACTAGGATGTTTGCTAAAATAATTCATCACAAAAATAGGCCAATGAGGAGAAATCACAACCATAATCACAATAGAAAATGCATTTGAGAAAATGTAACAGTCATCACTGTGGTTAGCAGCCAGGCAGGACAGAGCCTTTCGCTAAATGAGGAAACCAAGGACAATTTCTAAACCCAATAAAGAATGGTAGTTTTGGGGCCGCCCCCGTGGCATAAGCGGTTAAGTGCGCGTGCTCCGCTGCAGCAGCCCCGGGTTACATGGGCTGGGGTCCCATATAAAGTAGAGGAAGATGGGCACAGATGTTAATTCAAGGCCAGCCTTCCTCAGTAAAAAGAGGAGGATTGGCATCAGATGTTAGCTCAGGGCTGATCTTCCTCACAAAAAAACAAAAATGGTAGTTTTAAAAGTACAGCAAACAGGATATTCTACATCAAACGCTAAAATATCTGTGTTAAATTCATGAACAGACCAAGGCAGTCTACTCCAGTTTCAATCACTGGATTTTCTCCTCAACATTAAAAAGACATTGGTAAGATGAGAAAAGGAAACTGGGCTGAGTACCAAACATCAGAAATAATTACAGTAGACTATATCGTGATCATTCAAGTTAAACAAAAACAACAATCAATATAGAACTATTAAGTGCTATCAGTAAGGCAAACCCACTGCAAAAATTGTTAGGAAATAGAAAAATCCATTCACATATGGAATGAAGTAGACAATACCTCATGCATAATAGATCTCCAGTGAGTAGTCAGTGAATAAATGATTGAACTCAGGAAATCCAACAGGAGCCTACAATTACGGGAAAGAGTAGAGAAGAGGTGGGGATTCTCCAGAAAATAACTCTTAGCACAGAAAATCCATAGATTCCAAAAAGAGAGAGAAAGAAACAGAACAAGCACTGGAAAAGACTGGGCTCAGTGGAAACTAAAGTATCTTCAAAGTACAGAGACTTCACCACTGTAGACTAAATAAATGTGAGACCGTCTCAGTCTCATTACTCTAGAGGTAAACCCCAGCACCCACTTTCTCTCCTCTTTTTTTCTTGCTTCACCAGTCCTCATTGGATACACTGACCCTCTCTGATCATTAAGACTGAAGCTTTTTGTTCTCTGAGGTCTGTCCCTGGGAAGCCCAGTTGGTTTATTTGGCTAGGATCAGAGAGTTATTGGTAAGGGGCGACAGAAACATGGTTCAAGTTTCCAGAGTCTCAAGGGTTGAAATCTCAGAGCTCCTCATTATATAAATTGTTCTATTGACTTACTTTGTTCCAAATAATTCAGCTCCCTTGGGATGCAAAGATAAGAGAATGGGAAAATTTCAGCCAACATTGTGCCTGGCCAGCATCAAAGGTGGGAAATGGACTTTTTTCTTTCAAGGAGAGACTCTTCTTTCTTTGATTTGACTTAAAAATTACAAATTGTCCCTTATGGGAAATATAATTTCTACAAGAAGCAAAACCAGGAACCAACTTTCAATGATGTTCCCTTGAAGAATCCTGGGAGATTTTGTGAGTCACTTGGTCTCTGCAATGTCATGGAGGCAAAGAGATCTTTCTAAAGAAAAGCAGAGTGGCTAATAGTTTTGTTTTTGTTAAAAGGACTAACCAAGTGAGGACTGAAAAATATCTCTTGACATTTGCTGGTGACATGGAGGCCTCCACTGATATTAGGGAGGGCTCCATTTCTTATCTCTAAATGGAGGGGCAGGAGCAGAAATAATCCACGTAGAGTGGGCTGAAGAGTGTGTATTGAGATAACTTAGGTGATAAATATAAATCTTATATAAAGTTTGTTAGAGAAGGGGAGGGCAAGGTTAAAACACAATCTGAAGAGAGTAACAAATATGAGAGAGTTCAGAAATTTTTGTAGTGGAAAGTAAGGGAAAATGTTTAATTTCACAGAGAATGATCATATTTCACACAGACACTTGAATAGACAGGGAGTGCTGACTACATAATTCGCAGGATGCTGTATACACTATAAATCAACAAATCATAATGTGCTGTGTCTCCAATTTAGAGAATACTTGAATCCATAAACCAAGGGTTGGAAGTAGAAGCAGCTCCATCTAACATCACTCCCATGAACCGCTTGGGGAGTTTTTCCTTCAGGTCTCCACAAATCTGGCCTCTGCAGGTTTAGAAATCTGACCTCTAAGGGAGTCACATTTTCAGAGACATGGCCAAAGTCCTATTAAACTTCAAGCTGTGCTGCTGCCTGGGACTTCAGGTCCCTCATGCCAAGAAGAGGAGTCACCATCCTGGCAGGTGTAATTGACCATGGTCATCAATGTCATTGTGTGACCATGGCCATGGGCATGCACTGGTACCTGCTGTGCTCAGTCAGTGGCTGGGAGCATCCCAGAAGCAACCTCAGTACAAACACAGTGGTGAATGCAGATGGCTGTTTGTCAGTAATGCTCTCACAGCAAGAGATCTGAGTGGTGTTGAGCTTGAGTGAGGCAGCTCCCTTTAGGGCTGAGGGCTATCAGCTGGCTGCACCCCATGCATCTGGAATAATAAACCCTTAATCCAGAAGGAGGATATAGGCAATGCAGCATGGCATTCACTAGAGTCCATCCCTTGACACACTTGTATCAACTTTTCTTTTGATTGAAAATCAATTGACATATAACATTATGTTATTTTCAGGTATACAACTTAATGATACAGTATTTGTATATGTTGGGAAATTATCACCACAATATAACAATATAGTCTATATAACGTCCATCACCACAGATAATTACAAGTGTTTTTCTTGTGACGAGAATTTTTAAATTCTATTCTAGTATCAACTTTCAAATATACAATACGATATTATTAACTCTAGTCACTGTTCTGTATATTACATCTTGTGACTTATAACACGAATTTGTAC